TAGTTGTTAGATTTACCATACAGACTGTTCTTATATTAACATCTTTTTCATATTAACTTATTTCACGGTCTGATTTATGTTCTACTTCGGGAACGACATTTAGCCATTTATATTTCAAAATAAAGAGATAAAAACAGACATTGAGAAATATAAATTTATTAGATAAAAAATGTGTGCTTTTTTCTTTTGCAATATACATTTTAAAAATGCACATCGTATCATATTTACAAGTAACAATACATATAACATTTCAACAAGTCCTGAGCTTATTAACGAATGATTTGAAAATTTTAATATCTAGGTTTCATTCTAGATACATTCCTAGTTTAACACATGTATATAATAAATTCTTCTTATAATGTTCAGCAAATGTCACCATAACCTCTATGAAACTTCAAGTGAAGCTGCAAGTCTAATAACTGAGAAAATGTCTTCCGGGAACATAACACATACAAGGTTTCACTTTGTTGTGCGCCTGCTGATGAATCGTCTGCGCATGCCTAGAACGGAAGCACCGGAAGCAGAATCTGCACTGGTAAATGGCGGGATTTCGCTGATCAACTGAACACCCATGACCACTGTTCCCGCGCACGTGACTTTCATGACGTTGTTAATGTCTCTGTAGAAAACGGTATGTCACTATTTCCTCACATAATCCACATTTCACTTTATCAACATAGCCTACTATCAGTTCGTGTTTAGTCACATGACCACTCTTGCTGAAGTAAGAATCCTGCAGACGACACTGATCCCTGTTCGCTGTGTGAATATCATGGTGAATACAAGCGTCCGTAAGATCCGAACAAGCATCGTCACACACATGGCACCAGAAAACACACTTTATCATAGATTCACTTTCACACACGTTCATAGAATGGTTGTCAATGCTGTCGTCTGCCGAAAAGTGAGAACTGGAAACCTGAGCAGGTACTTGTACGTCAGAACGTCCGCTAGATCCTTCACAATTGCTGCTCTCAGTACCAATAATAGAATCAATAGAAAACGGTAGGTGGCGCTTTGATTTCAAATTGTCGTCTGTGGTGGTTATCTGTACAGTGGGAGACGGTGGCGGTGAAACACTGTAGAAATCACTTCGGATGTAGGTTGGAGAGGATGAGTAACCTTGACCCCCATATAGAGACTCATAACTCGGATAGTCATTTTCTGTATCAGTGTTGCTAGTGTAGTCATCTGAACAAATAGCAGTAGAAACCTCGTCGTCGTCGGACTGAGGTGAAACTTCCCGGTGGATTATCTCGTCGGTAATCATGCCGCTCACATGGTCACTAATTGTAACAACGAACTCGTCATCATTATCTTTCCCGGCAGCCATTGACAGGAAACCTGACATCAAATCTTCCATGTTCACTGAAAAATAAAATAATAACGTCACAGTGAAAATGGCAATTTATTATGAATTATTTAGGCGAAATTGAACTTGCTATCATAACTTTGAATAATTATAGGTTAACATACATTTTTATGTACAATACGGGAATATATTTGGACGAGTACACAGCTTGATTTGAATTGACTGATATGACTGATATAATGGATATTTTTTAGATGTTACAGTATTTATAGATTTTACATTTACTGTGAGTTCAGGAAAATGACAGTTAAAATGGCCTAAACAAATTATACATTGTAACAACTTACATTTATCATTAATATCTGTATAATGAACATCACAATTATGTAACTGTAAATTCCAAAAGTATCATATTAAAACCCCTTATTTGAATTACCATATTGACAATAGTATAATGTTTATATAACGCAAATGATGTCACGTTAAAATATATGCATGGCCGTTTAGTGCATATGTACACAAACGTTCAATATGATAATATTTTTTCTAATACAATACGGGAATATATTGGACGGTCACGAGGTACAAATGCAAATTATCGATTGGTTAGATATATTAGATATATAATAAAGACTTTATTCAATACTCTTCTTTGATGCAAAACATGTATCAAATGTGTTTTACTGTAAACTTAATTAGACGGGAATATGTTATTTCCCGAACCATATAGCAATATTATACCAAAAAAAATTACAGCCATTTTTGTCTAATTTTTATTTTAATAACGATAACTTTCTCGCCTATGTGAACCACGGATAACTATGGTAAATACTATATGGCATAAATAAAATAATCCGTAAATATCTATATTCAGTACTTTTTTTATGAATTTTCCAAATATAATTGCTATTTAATTCAGGGAAAAAAAGAAGTTTAATTAGGTAAAATGAGCTGATGTCTCGAACAGAAATTCGAATTCGTCAATCTTAATAAATATTACGAAATGGTAAAATGTACCTACGTATGAAATTCAGTATTAAATCCGAGAGAAATATACACAAAATAAAATAGCTTTTTATTAGTGTGAAAGAATTAAAGCATAAATGTAAAATTATAGGAGACTGAAACTATTTATATGGACAACATAACAATAAGCACATTCCTGGTAATTGCGTAAGTGAGTAGATTCAAACATTCTTTTTAAAGTCACGATAATATATAATTATATAAACAAACTGGTAAGTGGATTTAATTTATACTTCACTAATGGTGAATTAAAAAATAATAATTGTCATCAAAAACGACAATCAAAACAAACAACCAAAAAGCAACAACTGAAATTAGACGTAATTGTTTCAAAGTAATTAACGGTCACACCCGTTTTCTTATATAAAAGCAATTGTGAAATGCTGATTAGTCTATGGGGCCTCCGTGGCCGAGTGGTTAAGGTCACTGACTTGAGATCACAGGTCCCTCACCACTGTTGGTTCGATCCTCTCTCGGGTCGAAATCTTTCATGTGAGGAAGCCATCCAGCTGGCTTACGGAAGGTCGGTGGTTCTACCCAGGTGCCCGCTCGTGCCTTAAATAATGCCCGGAGGGGCACCTGGGGTCTTCCTCCACCAATAAAGCTGGAAAGAAATCGACGAAAAATCTCGGCGGGACGCTCTAGGATGACCCGACTTGAGTGTACGGTCGCCCATATGGGCTTTCCGGCGGCGACCTTAAATAAACGCATTAAAAAAAAACTGATTAGTTTTCTTGTATTACATTAATTAGTGATATTAAAAAGGTAAGGAGATAATTATACAATCTTGGTTTTATATATATTTATATATATCTTGCGATTTATATTCATTGAGAACGGACTAATTGAAAATCTAGTTACATAAAATATTATGATTGAATGTATAAAATGACTAAAAAATGCAATGATAATGTCTTGTAATGTAACAATTTAAAAACTTGACTAACAACGCAATATTTGCATTACATAGATGTGTATTAGTTATTTGACAGAGTGACTATTAAACGTCCAGATATAAAAAAATAAGTAATGGAGAGTTTAGACCACCTTGAATTAAAGTTTAAACAAAATGTTATTAACAGCGATTCTTAACATCTTTAATTAGCATGTCTTCAGATTAATGATAATTTTCTTGAAAATTTTGCAACTATTTTATAGTAATTATGTTAAAGTAGTATATTTTAGAGTGAACACATTGCAAACAGCACTTTCAATCCACGTATATTACAAAAATTGGTCAAAATGTGCAAAAGAAATCCCTTACTGCGTTAGTCACGCAATAGAAATATGGTGATGAAAAAGAATGTTGACTATTTTAAAATGCAACGTTCATTTTTTCTCTCTTGAAACATGTTAGCTCACCTGGAGGCAAGACTTTTAATCTGTTTTCATTCTAAAGTGACATTATGCCAATAATTTATTGTCATTTTTTTGTAAATTGAATCTATATTTCTAAAGATTAAACGTTATGATGGTGATTGGTTGACAGTTGATGACTGGAAATTTTAGGATAAAACATATTATTAAATTTGCATAAAATATAAAGACTGACCAACTATTTTTATCAATAGAAAGTTACAGCTACATGCTGTTGGATATTTATAAAAAAATCTTGGTTATAGTGAGGTTTTTGTCGTTTATGAGAAGTCCATTATTAAAGGAACTCCACTGAGGTTAATAAGTCTAAAAACATTTAAAAAAAACAATTCACATAGATCAACATGAACACTTATAACAGAAATATAAATAAAATACAAATAAGAAAACATACAAGAAATACATTGAAAATCGTATGTTTGTGCTATTCTCTGTCCGATTCGAGTGAAAAGCGTTTAAACGCTTTTCAATTTTGGGTCATATTTCACTACTATAATTATTATTTTGGAAAAACGGAATGAGCTAATGATCTGAAATTTTGCACATAAATTATTAGTATATATCTACATCAAATAGAATAATAATCACAGGAAAAATATTCCCAGTCCCGTCATGTCAAAAAACCTCAGTGGAGTCCCTTTAATACAAAAGAGAGCATGTTTTAAGTAAGGGAAACAACTCTCACTGTCCATTATGTGAGAGTAAATAAATCTCAGCGCGCAATTTCTTCTTGTTCTCAAATGAAGTTAGAAAGATTGCAAAATACTTAGTGAAAGCGTATTAACATGGCCGTAAAATCATTTATAGAAATACAGATGTGCAATTATACGTTTTACTTAAAGGCCCATTATACCAAAGAAAGCTTTTAATTTTTATTTGACAATCATCAGGAAAGCTAATCACAACTACACGGTCGAACCACATACAATTTACAGGTGTATTGTTTTAAATGTTAAAATTGCCTCTCTAAGTAAGCATGAAGAAGAACTGCAGTCATATTACATTTCGATCAATCCTCGTATAAAAAGGTTTCCTAGATTATCAAAATTTTGTACGTTTTCTGTGACGATTTAAAAATAATAATTATCTTTATTATATACTTATAAATGAAAAATTGAGAAATGTTGTTGAAATAAAATGAGTATTTTCATTGTAAAAAGAAAATATTTTTTACAGCAGTGAAATATATTTTCCGTAATTTTGCAACTATTTTATAGTAATTATGTTATAGTAATATATTTAAGAGTGAACACATTGCAAACAGCACTTTCAATGAAGCGTCTGTGGAGCAAGGTCATTGTTCTGAGGAAAGTAAGAACGTTATGCATCAGTACCTAGCAACCATAGTGTTCCCGTGCACTGACGTTGCCACGACATATTACCCGTGCACGTTGGCACAGATTAACGTAGCATCTATCGAATGTTACGCTAAAAATGGCGTAATTGTGAACAATGCACTGGTACCCACGCCAAGCACATTGTCTAATGCTGATGAAATGTGCGGGTAAGTTTCGCTGATGATATTTTGAGATGTAATTATAGTAAATAAAATCTTACAATGTTTTATTAATGTTCACAGGTCACAGTAGCAATGAAACACATTCTCACCAAATAAATTTATCATGAGTAGCGATAGCCATGAGTGAAATATGATAATTTTTATAACACAAGGTGAAAATGAATCCTGTATTTATAGAACAAATATTAAATTTTTTGTTCATTACATACATTTTTTTTTTCATTTTGACGTTACACTTTGATAGACTTCCCCTAAAATTGTGTATATTGGCTTAATTTTGAAGAAAGTAGTCCGGCAAGACACCAGTGAAAATACATGTTTGTTGCAGTGAAAAAAATGTTTTTGTTTGCAGTACAAATACGGAAAATAAAAATACGATTTTTTATTAATTTTTCTCAATTGTTATAAAGGACACTAATATTATCATGTTGTTCAATATTTTTAGCTCTAAAAGCACGATTCAGTCATGCATAAAAAGCCACATCACGAGATGTCTGTACGAACCTCAAGTCACCACGTTGTACGGGTCCGCTGTAGAGGGATTCGAGGCCGGCTATAATTGCATGTGTTCACCTGACAACTTTGGTAATATAAATTATGTTTATATTGTCCTTCTTTGTGTGGGTATTTGAGTTTATTTATACTCGCCACCGGTTGCCCATATGGGCGAGTCCTCCAGAAGAATATTATATTTAGATTAATAATTTAGATTTTTGAGGATAGTGCAAGATACAGTACAAAAAGTATCCAAATACCTGAGGCACCCCTGGTTCTTTTGCGTGCAAAGTGTTCAAAGCACTCATACACGGGACCTCGATTTAAAGTCTCATCCGAATGACTGATCAGTAAATTTAGTTGGCCAGCCCGGGAATCGAACACACAATGCCGAGATTACAAGTCTCGCGCTCTAACCGATTGAGCTACTTTGGTTTTCCTTTTTATACTTTGTTTTCCTTTTTTCAATATCAGTGTATTTGTTTTTACCACTGTAACTCTACACTAATCGTCTTTTCTTTTAAATTATTTACGATCTTTGAAGAAATACTTAAAATTATTTATATGAGAAAGAATAAAATTTAACTTGTTTTTTTTTAATTGTTATAATCATTTTGACGAAATTTTAAAAATTATAGACATGATTCTGAGATGCGCTGCCACAGCGGATGTGACGACAGCAATGTCAAAATTTACATCCAGCGTTCACAATCATAGTATCGCAGGGACACTGGATAAACAGACTCAGTGCGCGTAAGTATACACCCTACAAACACCCTATAATTATTTTCATAATATTATCATATCATCTTGCAACATTTAATATTTCAAACACTAAGCTGTCATTATTGAATTTGTTTTGCCTATGCCAAAATAGTAGTAGTTTTTTGTCAATATGGCAATAATATACATGTATGTATTCCTGCGACGGTTGTTACCGAAAACCATGTGTATGCAAATCAGGTTAATCAAAAAATGTTTCAGGGAAGTCTGTATTTAGATCCCTGAGCCTATCTCATGATATGTGACGAATATTATTGCTACATGCTACATTCTAGGGTTTAAAATACCAGTCTCTTGGTCGATAACGCAGTAAAAAGCTTGTAAAAAGGCTACTGTGATATATCCAAAAATTTAACGTATAGTTCTTTTATTACTGGATTATTGGGACTCAATAATTGTCATATAAGCTAGGTAGGTGGTTTGCTCCATAAATTGTCAATAATTTAGAATAAAGACAATGATATCAAACAAAACTTATAATAAAAGATGTTTATATTTCTTTATTTTCTATACCTTAAAGTTTAAAAAGGAATACAATGACGTCATAACCCTGACTTAAAATCAAATTATGACGTCCCTGACTTAAAATCAAATTATGACGTCCTTTTCAAAATTGTATTCCTAAATTTGATATTATCTTAGAGAACGGATAAAATATCATGTTAATTACATTAAAATGTTTCAGGGAAGTCTGTATTTAGATCCCTGAGCCTATCTCATGATATGTGACGAATATTATTGCTACATGCTACATTCTAATACGTTATGTTTTTAGACTTGAAAACACTATGGCGGCGGAGATAAGCGCGTCAGTTGAGATGAGCTGTGACGCCTCTGACATGGTACGTCATTGGAGAGCTTACATATCCACCGTGATTTACCCGTGCACAGAGACCGCCACTGCATGTTACCCAAAAAGAATGTTCAACGGAGGCGAAACCCTAGAATCAATGAGGGCTCTACTCATCAGTTTTGTTGGATTTCTTTTCTGCTTACGTTATTTATAATCTTTTTGATAAATTATGGAAGCTGGTTTGTGTAATTATGGCTTTTTGACCCGACCCGATACAAGAAAGATTGCACTAATCAGCTTCCATAATATAAAGACTCAAATATTGTATGTTTTTATGTGAGCAAATGCTGGGAGCACGGACGTTTTTAAGATATTTCTTTCTGTTTCAATGTTTAATGTTATAAGATTTAAAGATTGCATGTCGATTTAAGCTTTTGTGAAATCATTAGATTTATTTTGAAAGGTACCAGTATTTTCTTTTTCAGAATAGAGTTGTTTTTTTCCTAAATTCAATGACAAATTCCGACTTTAAAATGTAGAAGGAATATTGTATATTTTTAATAAATCCGTTTAAACAGTGCTCAATATGTTACAAAATAATATTTATTAAAATGACCATCGTTTCTTAAATTTCAAGAGACGGGTCTATAAGTTAAAATATTTGTTCACAGATCAATGTACCCGATTTGTGCCTCAAATCCACACCGACGTTATCGTCGTATCATAGTTTTGATTTTCTGATGAAAGGAGAGGGTCCGCAGATTAAAATACCAGTCTCTTGGTCGATAACGCAGTAAAAAGCTTGTAAAAAGGCTACTGTGATATATCCAAAAATTTAACGTATAGTTCTTTTATTACTGGATTATTGGGACTCAATAATTGTCATATAAGCTAGGTAGGTGGTTTGCTCCATAAATTGTCAATAATTTAGAATAAAGACAATGATATCAAACAAAACTTATAATAAAAGATGTTTATATTTCTTTATTTTCTATACCTTAAAGTTTAAAAAGGAATACAATGACGTCATAACCCTGACTTAAAATCAAATTATGACGTCCCTGACTTAAAATCAAATTATGACGTCCTTTTCAAAATTGTATTCCTAAATTTGATATTATCTTAGAGAACGGATAAAATATCATGTTAATTACATCAAAACTGGAATGGTGTTTCGATATCAAGTATGGATTCGTTGTGTTGTTTAGTGTTGTTTGTATACATGGATTATTCAATAAAATTTGGTTTGTGTTTAAACGCCCCTTTTAATTTTAGAGTTAATATATACTACTTATGCTCCATAAAATATAGTATTTCTTTCATTTTTAAGATAATGAAATAAACAGTTCGTTAACCAAGTACATGTAATTACAATGTTTTTGGAATAAAATATACAAGCTATTGCCCAACTTCATGTAAAATTCATTTTGATAGAACAGAAGTGTTAATGTGTATAGATGATAAATGCGTGGTTTATGGCGGTTCATTTATAAGAAAAAAAATGTTGTTGATATGAGAGTGAATAGAATGAAAAAAATGTTATAACATCAATTTTGTTTGGTACTGTGTAAGCTGTAATTTTGGAATCTAAAAATAAAGAGATTTTTGTATGACGTGTTTTGAGTTCTACCACTACCATCAGCATGTATTGTGCTACAGTGACGTTCTCAGACAGTGACGTTCGGAAACAGTGACGTTCTGAAACAGTGACGTCATGATCTTCGACACAATGTCAATACCAACAGTTTGTAGTGTGGTTAAATAATAGCATTTTCCTTAGTAGTGTCATTTGTATCCATAGTCGTGGCGGTTTGCAACTGTTCACGAAACATTAAACAACAAACCTAGAAATCATGTTGGTGTATCTTTCGATGTCCCTGATTTGTTTCCATTAAAATGTAAATATATATAAAGTATAACTCTATTTTGCCCGGTTTTTGAATTATCTCCCCTTATAGAAAAATCTTGTCCGGGCCATAACTCTAAAACTATAAGAGATATCAACATGAAACTTTGTAGGTGAATAGGTCTCAATGGGTAGATGTGCAGTGCATAAGAACAATAACTCTTTTCATCCTAATTTTGGAGTTATTGCCCTTTGTTAATTTTAATACTTTGAACTTTGTCCGGAACATAACTTGAAAACCCTTGGAGATAATTTGTTGAAACTTCATACAGTGGTAGAGGGCATTGAGGGGGGGGGGGTGCAGTGTCAAAGAACCATAACTCTATTTTGCCTGGTTTTTGAATTATCTCCCCTTATAGAAAAATCTTGTCCGGGGCATAACTCTAAAACTATAAGAGATATCAACATGAAACTTTGTAGGTGAATAGATCTCAATGCGTAGATGTGCAGTGCATAAGAACAATAACTCTTTTTGTCCTAATTTTGGAGTTATTGCCCTTTGTTTATTTTAATACTTTGAACTTGAACTTTGTCCGGAACATAACTTGAAAACCCTTGGAGATAATTTGTTGAAACTTCATACAGTGGTAGAGGGCATCAATGGGGAGTGCAGTGTCAAAGAACCATAACTCTATTTTGCCTGGTTTTTGAATTATCTCCCCTTATAGAAAAATCTTGTCCGGGGCATAACTCTAAAACTATAAGAGATATCAACATGAAACATTGTAGGTAGATAGATCTCATTGAGTAGAGGTGCAGTGCAAAAGAACCATAACTCTGTTAAGCCTTATTTTTGAATAATCTCCCCTTTTAGAAAAATCTTATCCAGGACATAGTTGTAAAACTATAAGAGATATCAACATGAAACTTTGTAGGTACATAAATCTCTATGGGTAGATGTGCAGTGCACAAGAATCATAACTCTACCTTGCCTAATTCTGGAGTTATTGCCCTTTGTTTATTTTTACTTTTTGAATTGTCCAGGACATAACTCGGAAATCATAAGAGATATCATCAAGAAACTTTGTAGGTTGATAGATCACATTGATTAGAAGTGCAGTGCAAAGAACTGTAACTCTGCCTTGCCTAATTTTAGAATTATTGCACTTTGAACTTTTTCCACGGACATAACTCTGAAACTACAAGAGGTGTACTTTCCTGTGTCCAAAACCTATTCGGGGAGCATCACCCGGCTCAAACCGGGCTCTTGTTTCAATAACAGGCAGCAAAAATATAGCTTTATACTCAAATTTAGTAATTATTTTAATATTCTGATGTAATGAGGTACTATTATATCTATAAATATTTACTATTATATGTATAAATGTAAAAGAATTTGAAATAAATGGGGTTACCCAGTTGGGGCCTGAAAAAAAAAAAAAAAAAAAAAAAAAAAATGTAAATATTCGCAACTTTTCGGCACTTTTGGTAAATAACCATTGTTAAGTGTCGGGATATTCCGAATGGTCTGATTGCTTTTCTTTTTTGGGAACAACATTTAGCCATTTATATTTCAAAATAGTATTTCAAAAAGAAATAAAAACAGACATGGAGAAATATATTTATTAATTAAAACATTGTTTTTTGTGCTTTATTCTTTTGAAATAGACATTAAAAATGTACATCGTATCATACAAGTAACAATACATCAAACATATCCTGAGCTTACTAACGAATTGAAAATTTTAATATCTGGGTTTCATTCCTAGATACATTCCTAGTTTAACACAAGTCATGTATGTAATCAATTCTTCTTACAATGTTCAGCAAATGTCACCATAACCTCTATGAAATTTCAAGTGAAGCTGTAAGTCTAATAACTGAGAAAATGTCTTAAAACATCCGGGTACATAACACATACATGGTTTCACTTTGTTGTGCGTCTGCTGATGAATCGTCTGCGCATGCCTAGAACGGAAGCACCGGAAGAAGAGACTGCACTGGTAAATGGCGGGATTTCGCTGATCAACAGAACTCCCATGACAACTGTTCCCGCGCACGTGACTTTCATGACGTTGTAAATGTCTCTGTAGAAAACGGTATGTCACTATTTCCTCACATAATCCACATTTCACTTTATCTACAAAGCCTACTATCAGTTCGTGTTTGGTCACGTGCCCACTCTTGCTGAAGTAAGAATCCTGCAGACGACACTGATCCCTGTTCGCGATGTGAATATCTTGATGAATACAAGCGTCTGTAAGATCCGAACAAACATCGTCACACACATGGCACCAGAAAACACACTTAATCATAGATTCACTTTCACACACGTTCATAGGATGGTGATTAATGGTGTCGTCTGCCGAAAAGTGAGAGCTGGAAACCTGAGCAGGTACATGTACGTCAGAACGTCCGCTAGATTCTTCACAATTGCTGCTCTCAGTACCAATAATAGAATCAATAGAAAACGGTAGGTGGCGCTTTGATTTCAAATTGTCGTCTGCGGTGGTTATATGTACAGGGGGAGACGGTGGCGGTGACATACTGTAGAAATCACTTCGGATGTAGGTTGGAGAGGATGAATAACCTTGACCCCCATATAGAGACTCATAACTCGGATAGTCATTTTCTGTTTCAGTGCTGTTAGTGTAGTTATCTGAACAAATAGAAGTAGAAACCTCGTCGTCGTCGGACTGAGGTGAAACTTCCCGGTGAATTATCTCGTCGGAAATCATGCCGCTCACATGGTCACTTATTGTTACAACGAACTCGTCATCATTATCTTTCCCTGCAGCCATTGACAGGAAACCTGACATCAAATCTTCCATGTTCACTGAAAAATAAAATAATAAAGTCACAGTGAAAATACTCTGAATAAAGACTTTATTCAATGAACTTTTTGATACAATATTTTTTTTTTTAAATGTGTTTTACTGTAAACTATAGTCAGACAGGAATGTTATTTCCTGAAAAATATAGCAATCTTACACAATCTTAAACAACAATGGCAATTTTATTGTTATTAATTTTAATAACGGTAAATTTCTCGTCAATATGAACCACGGATAACTAGGTTAATACTATATGAAAGGCATAATGATAAAATATTTCGTAACCATCAATATTAAGTTCTTTTATTCCAAACATATACAAAATGTATATGAATTTTCCAAAATATAATTATTATTTTATTCGGGGAAAAATGAAGTACATTTGGCAAAATGAGCTGACGCCTCTAATTGAAATTCGTCAATCTTAATAAATATTACGAAATGGTAAAATATACCTACGTATGAAATTCAGTATTAAATCCCGAGAGAAATATACACGAAATAAAATGGCTTTTTATTAGTGTGAAAGAATTAAAGTATAAATGTAAAATTATAGAGGAATGAAACTATTTATATTGACAACACAATAATAACCACATTCCTGTTATAATTGCTTAAGTGGGTATAATCAAACATTTCTATCAAACTGTAATTGCATTGTTACAATTCTTTTTAAAGTCACGATAATATATAATTATATAAACAAACTGGTAAGTGGATTTTCATACTTCATTAATGATGATTAAGAAAATAATTATAATTATTTAAACAACAATAGCAGCAGCAACAACAACAACAAAACTGAATTTAGACATTTTATTATAGTTGTTTCTTAAGTGCTGCAAAGTCTCTGTTTCGTTTTGGGAGACCTAGTGGCACACATTTATAGTATCCCGCATTTCAACTAGACCACAGATCTTTGATTTTTCTAAAGGAAAAGTCAGAAGAAGTTTTCCAGGTTTAGAAATACTAATTAACTCCACTTTCGTATCTCAATATCTAATGCTATTTTTCACTATATGAAAATGTGTTATTTCTATCTACATTATACAAAGAACTATTTTTTTCCTCTTTGGGCCTATGATATAGCTTTTCGCTAATTAAATATTGTAAGATCGTGTGGGAACTGTGGCTTCCGACACCTTTGTATAGGATTCACCGTGAAGTCGGGGGTACTCCTGTCCCCCGACCGCCATTGGGAAGTCGAGGGACAGGAGTGCACCATGCACGGCCTGGGGCGCGTTTCATCGCAGGAAGACCTTATTGGAGCTTCCATGCCCCAGGTCGTGCTCTGATTGAGTTCAGGTCCACGATAGAGTAGGCGGAGACCCCAGTTCCCGCCGATCAGAAAGTTTTTCTAGATCATATTCAAATTCACTCTGCTTAACTAAACACTTGAATATTATCTAACATTTTAACTAAAGGGAAGTAAATGCAACAACATCTACGTGCAAAACCTTTTTTTTTGTTATCACTCTATACCATACCTTTTTAGACTTCTCCATTTATACCTTAAAAATGATTCGCATGTTTACTTAAATTTTTGTAGTATATTCATTTACGTTAAAAATATTGATTGTCGTTACGACTATTGAGCAGTAATCGTAAATTTAATACTACACATTGTTGATATAGAAAGTATACATATGTGTGCGTGTGTGTGTGTGTGTATGTTGGTGTGTGTGCGCGGGCGTGTGCGTGCGACGAGAAAAATGAAACAATACCTTTGAATGTATATTATTTAATATGTTTTAGTAATATATATAACACAACAGTTTTGGCTCTCCACGTACCTAAAGACTGGAAGCACAATTCAATTATATTTTTCGCTAGTATGTTAATTAACTGCTATTTGAGCCTCATTATACTTTATTCATGTTTATTACTCCATTATGTCATGTTTGTACATGGAATGAGAGAATAAAATGTTTTTTGACTTTGACTTTTGACTTTGACTTCTTAGTAATTAACAGTCACGCCCATTTTAAAAACAAACTGTGAAGTGCTGATCAGTCTTTTATCTTCTTGTTTAACATTACTGATATTAAAAAGGTAAAGAGATAATTATATAATTACACAATGCTATTTTGTTATCAACTTTAATTTGCGAATTAAATATAATATAATTGATTAAATGCGGATCTGGACTTAATATAAGTACTGTTGACTATTTTGTTTGCACAACAAACTTATTTAAGTATGTACAATGTATGAGTGTAATGAATTATTGTCCATTATTGTCCGATGTGCATAACCCTGTTAAACTGAATTTTAATTTTAAAAGTACGGAGTACAAAAAGGAGCAAAATACCATATGTGATGACTTTGTTAAATTGTGGGACAATGATAAACGTGATTTGTTTGTCAACAATATTGATATGTCACATGTTAACAAAGTTATAGATGACTTGACTGTATTAGAAAATAGCAATGTTGTTAACCCTGATAGTTTAGATGTTATTGTTAGAAATATTGCTAAGATATTTGAAGATAGCTCGTTACAGAGTTTTGGAGTATGTCAGACAAGAATTAACGAACATACTGAAACTAGACCTGCTAGTTGGTTTAATTTAGAGTGTAAAAAAGCTCGCCGTGATTTTCATAGAGCGAAATATATGTATAAATTAAGAAATACTGAAATAAACAAAAATGAATTACGTGTTAAAAGCAAAGTGTATAAGAAAACGATGAATAAAAATTTTATAAAGTTTAAGAGAAATAACATAGCAAGATTAAGAAATTTAGATAAAACAAAGCCGAAACAATACTGGTCAATTCTTAACGGAAAGAAAAATAGTAAAATTCATGCTGATTTGAATGACTTATATACGTATTTTAAAAATTTGAATTCAAGTCAAAACATTGAAAATGCCCCTGATATTAATGTTGATACAGACTTGTTCGATGAAGAAAATATTGATATTAATATGCCAATTACGAGTGACGAAATTGAAAAAGCGGTAAAAACGCTGAAAAATAACAAATCATGTGGTGTTGATAAAGTAATAAATGAACACATAAAAAATTCTTTTTCAAGTATGAAAACTGTATATGTTAAATTATTTAATGTTGTTTTCAATTCTGGTATAATTGTACCAAATGATTGGACAGTTGGAATTATTAACCCAATATATAAAAATAAAGGGGATGTTAGTGACCCGTCAAATTATAGACCAATAACATTGTTAAGTTGTATGGGGAAACTTTTCACTGCAATTTTAAATGTGCGTCTGCAAAAATATACTGAAAATTATAATTTGATTAACGAATACCAAGCTGGATTCCGAAAAGGATTTTCTACACTTGATAATATGTTTGTACTAAATACTTTGATTGATTTATTAAAAAAAAGTAAAAAGAAACTGTTTTGTGCCTTTGTTGATCTTAAAAGTGCGTTTGATAGTGTGTGGCGTTCAGGACTTTGGTGTAAACTATATGCTGTTAATATAAATGGTAAATTTTTGAATGTTGTTAAAAATATATATGAAAATGCAAAATCTTGTGTTAGGGCCAATGGGAACAAATCAATATATTTTTCATGCACTGCCGGTGTAAGACAAGGTGAAAATTTATCGCCTCTTTTATTTTCATTATTTCTAAATGATTTACATGCTTATTTTTCCAACAGTGGTCTAGTCGAAGGCGTCAATTGCTATAATCATGATTTTGATGGAAATGTTATGTACTTTTTAAAACTTTTTATTTTATTGTATGCAGATGACACTGTTATTTTGTCAGAATCTGCTAAAGATCTACAAGACGCTCTAAATGTTTATGCAGCGTATTGTGATAAATGGAAATTGGTTCTTAATACTTCAAAAACAAAAGTTATGGTTTTCGCAAGAGGTAGACAAGTTCAACACAATTTTACTTATAATAATGAAAATATCGAAATTGTTAATGAATATAAATATCTTGGAATTATCTTTAGTAGGAGTGGATCTTTTTTAAATGCAAAAAAGCATATAGCCAAACAAGGAACAATAGCAATGTATAATTTAATAAAAAAGGCTAAATCACTATACTTACCAAATTGACATCCAAATAGATTTGTTCAATAAAACTGTTAAACCAATTTTGCTCTATGGATGTGAAATTTGGGGTTATGGAAACATTGACATGATAGAAAGAGTTCAACTTAAGTTTTTAAAATATATTTTAGGATTAAAATCTTCTACCTCAAATACAATAGTGTATGGTGAAACAGGTGTAACACCGCTCTCAGTAGATATAGAATCAAGATTAGTTTCTTTTTGGGCAGATATAGTTGTCCCAAAGACGTTTAAACTAACGCAAACAATGTATTATTTTGCTCTTTATAGTAGTAATTTTTTAAATACACAGCAAAGCAATAATTTTATGTGGATAACGTGTATTAGAGATATACTCGTCAAATGCGGCATGAACAATATTTGGGACACACATCTTTTTCCAAATCAAAAGTGGTTGACCGCAACAGTTAAACAAAAGCTAATAGACCTGTTTCTTAACAGCTGGTATTCAAACTTAGAAACTTCTGGAAAGTGTAAAAATTACAAGTTATTTAAACACAAATTCGAATTTGAAAAGTATATCACAAATACACATCCTAATTTACTTAGATATCTGATTAAATTTAGAACAAGAAACCATAGATTACCAGTAGAAACTGGATCTTGGCATGGGATAGAACTTAATATGAGAAAATGTACATTATGTAATTCCTCAGTTGGAGATGAATTTCATTACCTTCTAGAATGTAAATATTTTGACCGTCAAAGAAAAAAATACTTAGGACCCAATTATTACATTAGACGAAACATTTATTCTTTTGATAAACTTATGAATATAAACAACCATAGTAATTTTGAATATAAAAAAATATGTATGTTTATTAGGGATATAGTTGAAAAATTTATATAATGAAAATTAAATGCATATAACAAGTGTAAATTCATTGCATGCACATGCTTTGTATGTTAAAAGTACCCAAGGTACTCTCCCTTTACATGTATTAT